GCGTAACTCCTCGAGATGATTGATCGGGGCGACGCAAAGTCACGCACTTTCGTCTCGGGCGAAATGAGTAAATTTGCAAAGTAATTCTCATTTAGCCAGGGCCCGTGTCTCGAGCACGCCCAGAGTTACAAAGCCCGGAAGGCGTGGATCGACGCTAGACGACGCGACGCGCGATTAAATTTGAAATGTTCGCGCGATGCGTCGCGACTCGGCGCGTACACGTAATTAAAAGTATTGATTTAGCGATTAGCGGGTTGAATTGACTCGTGTGTAGTCCCGCGATGCAACTTCCGTCTCCTCTGTTCGTTTGCGCGAATGCGGAACGGAGCGTTTAGCGAAATGTGGGGCTTTTTAATCCCCTGGAACGTCCAATCCTGATCGCGTTATTTCTGGAACAAAGGGATCCCCCTCTTTTTGGAGGCTTTTTCTGTCGCCGGACGGACAAATTCGCGATTAAAATTAACCAAAAAGTGCTTGCTGGACGTGGTTTGTTGTAATAGGCAAATTATATCGTTAAAGAAATGAGATTGGCGACACTTTGAAAAAGAAATACACATATATCAATGTAGACAATTCTTTTCTGCGTTGTAAATTCTTCCGAAATAGGGCAGTTATAATTTTAATATTTGAAAACGATTACGAAGGACACACTCAAGTAAGAATATCTGCTCTAAATATGTACCTTGTTTCTCCTTCTATTTTTCTGTTCATCGCTACAGTCGCTAAGCATGGTTTCACCTGTTCCTCTGATCGACAATGAGTTGACTCGGGCGCGGCAGTTAAGTGGTTAACCCTATAGCGCGTAATTTCTTTTTACTGCGATTCTGTTTATTTAATGGAAAGTGATGCCCAGAGGTGTAGGACAAATAGTACAGAATTTTACGTGTTGAATTTGACCATCGTTTTTGTTTTCGACGAATACTCAAATCTCTTCTGGAAAGCAGTAATAGTACACCTTAAAATAAGTCATTTAGAGCTATTATAGCACTCTAGAGCAAACTTCAACATTGTGGAATCATCCTTGTAGAAACGAGCCAGCAAAGGATGTAGACTTTCAGTGTCCTTTTCGTAGGAATTCGACCTTTCAAGAATCTCGAAGTAGGCGTGGGCGTTATAAGACAGGACAAGGTTTATTGCATTGTCTCGCAGCATCAATCAGGATTTGGTGACGCAGATGGTAGACTAACGCAGAATTCGGATGACGTGGAATTTGGGTGGCGCAAAGAAATATCTCGATAAGATCTCGTCGACTTATAGAATTGAAATCAAAATTTAAAAATGTGGAAACATTCTCGGAATATATCACTAAAGAATTGAATATTCAACGGTTATAATACACACCTTTGTGTTATCAGGAACGATATAAAAGTTTTACAGTTTTTAGATTATACGGGTTTAAGAATTCCATTTCGCACAGTGTGTAAGTACATTACAAATAGGATAATTTTAATTACAAATAGGATAATTTAAAATATATTGATGTTATACATAATTTGTAAAAATGAATTTTTCTGGAAACTAATTATATACTGGATACTTTGTTCTTCTACGGACCACTAGTGCCAACCACGGCTCCTTGATGTTGTCTCTGCTAATCTAAAACTAGTCTCACTTTACACTTTACACTTTGCACTTTTATACTTCACGCATCACTATAAAGAAAGGTCGTGTCCGTATGGAAGCCGAATAAACCCCAGATTCAACGGATTTCAGATTTAACAAATGGAAGCCTACGGTTCCAGTGTCGCTGCACCTGTAAATTCTATTCGGTTCTTTCCAATATTGCTTTAAAATTGAATTATTTTTTCGGGAAGCGTGTCACCTCCGTCTATAATGGAACCCTGGACCTCTGGGGCGGAATTCAGATTTACCGATCAGAATTTCTAATGGAGGTTATTTTGGTATTGGTCGGGATTTCGTATCGCATAGCATTGCTATCGCGAAATCGCAATTTATGGCGGAGAAGACGGATTTTTCTTACGTCGTGAACATCGTTCTCGGGGGATTTTATATATAATAGCTTCTTGCAGTGGCACCTCTTCGACAAGCGCTGCAATGTTTTGCCAATACGTGTTTGAAGAGACGATGAAAAATGGCAGACTAAACCATTGCTTTTCTGAAGAAAATAAATATGTGGCCTTTTGCTATTATCAATGTTCGAATAAATTAATTGTTTTGTGCTTGAAAATGTTCTAATTCTTTAGGTATGCTTATATTTTTTCAACATTTATTCCTCATCCTCAGGAAAGTCGGGATGAAGAATAAATTGAAGCTTTTCAAAATTGAATGAACTGCACGCGGAGTCGATCGAATTAAAATATCATACCTTTTCTCTCAAATGTAGCGAGGTTTAACTGTTTTGCATATTCTTATAAGAAGACATAAAACTTTCTTTGCTCCATTTGTCAAATTCTCAAAGTATACACTCGAGTGTATACTCGTTCTAAATATTTTTATTTCCGATTAAACTGTTAGGCAAAAAAGGCGGATGGTTTACACAGGCATTCCGTTACTTTTTAGAAATTCCATTAAAGTCTATGCCAGTGTCGGGTGGACGTCCACCTGGGAAACAGGGGATGAAAAATCCTCAAATATACTCGTAATCCTATTAACGTGACGGCTGTTCAATATAAAACCCGCAGCTTGCGCGAAATCGGATTTAACCGTGTAAAAAAAAAAAGGAAATAAAAAAAAAAGAACGCCGAGACCTCGTTCCCCGCTTTAATTATTAGATCGATCAAAATTACGCCAGAGATATGTCCCTCGGTCTGAAACGCGATTAAGCAATCTTTTAGGTAATTAATTTATTGGAGTGGTGACGTCGTAAAATAGTACCTGACATTTCCTAAAAATATACACATATATCAAGTATGTATAAAAATATCCCAATTTAGGAATCATATATATTTATTGATAAATAGCTCGATTCCCTGCTCAATTTAGTCCAGATATAACACAAGCTTACCATTAATTTTTCATTTACTCACCAACCACTTCACCCTCGTGTTATTTACATCCAAACACCCCTGAATCATATACTCCATACCAAAAGTATGCCAGAAAAATACAGTACACAAATCTCCCCATGCAGGAAGTCAATTCATTTCAACTATTCACGGGTTTATTGCCACAACCGAAAGCCATTTTATATAAAAGGTTTATCTTGCGGAAAACCTGTCAGAATTTGTGCACACTGTTCAAACACACGTACGAACACACTGCGAAAGATTGAAACCAATAAAGATAGAAAAATACGCGACAGGGAGTTTCATCGAATTCTCGAAACCGACGATACACGTGTAAACCGTGGCAGCTGGTTCAGCGAATGGTTTCAAACGATTTAAAGGCTTCATCGGTTCCCATTGTCTGTGATCCAAGCGATAAACGGTCAGAGAGGTCAAACAAACTATTCCTCGCAGCAATAGCTGCATAAGTGGAGAGGGTGCGCTCTAAAATTGTGACGATTTCAGTGAGAAACGCGGTCGAGTAGAGGAGCGAGGCGGTTTCTAGAGGGTCAAGGCTGGTCGACAGACCCTCGTCGAACCTCTTCTTCGTCGTTTCTGTTCCTCTCAAAGAAAGCTTTTCCCTTCCGATATTATTCAGCCGTCGCAGTTTATATATGCCTACCTGAGTCGACTGAAACGTGCATCGATCGTTCAGGCGTCGCTCAGGCGAACGATTTCACGAAATAGAGGAAGCTGATTTGTTTCTCAACACCTGGTACGGTTGATAGAATATCGAGGATGTGTCTTTGAGGATTTCTCTTCACCTAGTTCTTAAATTTACGCCCAGACGCTTGGGGTACCGTTTCGATGAAATTTTTAAAGAGTAACGAGATGTTTGGTATAGCTACCGTTTCCTCCTGAAGTAGTTTAATTTAGACTTGCCATCGACAATTTGATCAACGATCATTTTATCACGAGAATCATCAAGAAGCTTTCCATACTGATATTCTCTAAAAAATATTTTCAACCTCCAAATTTTCACTGCAATTTAATCTAAACTCAGTTACGAATAAAATACATCAAATAAAATGCCTTGTCTCGATCAACAAATGAATCAATACAATTAACTAATTACTCAAAATATACATCCGTATGACTCTGTTATTCTATTTGTTTCTACTAGAGGATCATCAAGGAGCTTTCCAATAAAGGGATATTTCGGTTCTTTATTTGCATACACTCGAGTTGCTCGCACAGGTGCTCGGTAAATAAATAATCGCGCTTTTACGAGTACAAACGCGTGGAGCGATACAAGTGCTCCCGCCCATCGAATATATTTAGACAATGTTTGTACCGCGTACACCCTGGGCACCGTTTCTGGCGCTAAATTTATCTTAGTATGCAATACATAATTCAACGAGCCGGTGTTTCTGCGTTGCTAGCTAGACGACAAAATTGGACATCGCGGTTGTCCGCAAAGTGTTCAGGATGCTGGAACGTCGTGTAGTAATTGAATAATCGTATAATTGTGTAGAACTGCATACTTGCGCTTTATGACATGAAATTTAGAGAGTGCATTAAGTGCACTGTAACCAATAATGTACGAGAAAAATTGTTAACGGAGTTAAACGACGCGTTGTTGCATGCCGATAACAGCATCGCAGTACATGCGCTATCATTATTTAAATTAAGACCTGTTGTCGTGCGCTTGGATAGGAAAAAAATTGTTTCGGATAATTTTTATTTCACGGAATAAATAACTGAGGAACACAATTTTTTCGGATTAGTTTTAATAATTTTATTCGTTGACATTGCCATGTGAGATTTTTCCTGTGTTTCCATGATTGATTAAATGGTATGGTTTTGATTTCTATTCCTTCCTTCAAATCACAACAAACTGATTCCTATTTCTTACTCCAAAACACAACAAATTAATTTGTATTTCTTGTTTCAAACCAGAACAAACCGATTTCTATCCTTTGCTCCAAACACCAAAGTCTTCTTCATCACTTGCAAACTATCTTAACCCCGAAAAATCTTGTGTTATATTTGCAGAAACATGGGCCACGGATGAAATGCGCCGCTTGTCGGGTGGTGGCACACGCGGTGTGCGCGACCAGTCTCAATTTCGCCTGTAAATCGAGCTTCCGCGACGTGGGTGTCCGACAGTATCGCGAGCAGACGAACACGCACCACCACTGGGTCCATCGGCGTTCGCAAAAGGGGAAATGTGGTAATTGCGGGAAATCGTTCCAATCGAAGCTGAGCTTCACCTCCAAAGAGATCGTCGCCGTGAGCTGCAGCTGGTGCAAGGCAGCCTTTCACAACAAAGAAGCATGTTTCAATGTTCAGAAGATCGGCGAGAACTGCGAGCTGGGTTGTCACTCGTCCATAATCGTGCCACCATCTTGGATCGTCAAGCTGCCACGGAAGGGTAGCTTCAAGAGCAGCCTAAGGAAATCCCCGCGCAAGAAGAAGTCTGGCGAGAGGAAGAAGTCGAAGGACAAGGACAAGGACAAGGAGCAGGATAAAGACCAGGGAAGGCTGTGGGTGGTGAAACCGATACCGACCCCTTCCGTGAAGCCGGTGTTGGTGTTCATCAACCCAAAATCGGGCGGTAATCAAGGGGCGAAGCTGCTGCAGAAATTCCAGTGGCTCTTGAACCCGAGACAGGTCTTCGATCTGACGCAGGGTGGACCCAAAATGGGGTGAGTTTGGGGATCAGCTGGAACAGTGGTCCCTAGTTGTCATAATGCATTATTGTAGCAAATGTTTGGCAGTTGGTCTATGGAATTATTGAATTTTTGATTGTTACAATGATAGACTCCTCATGCTTTTTTTATTGGAAAATTTTCATTCTTGGTTAGTTTATAGAAACAGCAACAGATGAGATGTTTTATTGAATCTAAAATTCACCAATTTAAAAAGAATTTCGAGCCCAAGTTTTAGCAAAGAATCAGGTTTATTGAATGGAAATTGCGATGAAAATGAATTGGCTGAATGGATTAGGCGAACGGGGGTCGGGATATTGGAAAATATGATAAATGAACGAGAGGTTTAATTAAAGTTCCACGAGCTGGCTCGTAGCCAGGAAGTAGCTGAATAAAGGTGAATAGTTGTCGCTATGGTATTAATGAAACTTTCTCAAGGAGTTTATTTCGAAGTTCGAGCATTTCGTTCATTTGCATTCATGAAGAACTAAACAGGAGTCGACGAATGGTGTTGCAATCGAGTACAGGCAACAGTGCTCGGATATTTTGCCTCATTAATCAATTTATCTCTTGTATCGCAACAAATTATCTGATTATACATTGAACGTTCTTTTTAACCGACTTCGAAAAGGAGGAGGTTACTCAATTCGCCATGTATATACTTTTTTTTTCTTTTTTTTTAAATGTCGGTTCACCGATTACGCCGAGATGGCTTGATGAATCGGAGTGAATCCTCTTGCATCTTGTAGAGCATGTTCCCCCGGTGATCCTGCTGTCAAGACTTTTGCGATTTGTCATTTTTTACCCGTCTTTTTACTTTCATTGTTGGTGCAAAATTGCTATGCTCTAGTGTAGCTCGACAAGGAATTTACTAAACGCAATCAATCCTTTCACATGTATTTGCACATGTATTCCTGGTAATCCCATTTACAATTATACAGGGTGTTCAAAAAATGTTGGACGTCCTTGAATAGGGTGTTTCGGGGAGGAGGGGGAGGGGGGTTATTTGAAACAATTTTTTCTTAACGAAAATGTTGTTCGAGGCTTCGTTAAGGAGATATTGATAGAAACCCCCGACCAATCAGAGCCGGCCCGACCCGACCCGACCAATCGGGGCCTGTGCTACCGCAGGCGCTCCACCGGCATACTCGCGCTCTGATTGGTCGGGAGTTTCTGTTTCTGGAATATCTCCTTAACGAAGCTTCGAGCAACATTTTGGCTAAGGAAAAATTGTTTTAAGGAACAAGCCTTTTCAAGGACCTCCAACAAAAGTCAAATACAACAGCAAAGTCGATAATATACAGTGCTCGGTCGATAACACAGATTACCCTGTCGCTAATGTCGAGTGCTCGGTCGATAGTGCATATTACTCTGTCGATAATGCAGATCACTCAAATAAAAATAAAATTCCTCTTCTTGCAGCCTGGAATTATTCAAGTCGGTTCCTAATCTTCGAGTTCTCGCGTGTGGTGGTGACGGTACTGTCGGTTGGGTGCTGTCAATCCTGGATCAGATCGGCGCCACTCCGCCTCCGGCAGTCGGTGTCCTTCCACTTGGCACTGGAAACGATTTGGCAAGAGCTTTGGGATGGGGAGGTGGTTACACAGACGAGCCAATCGGAAAGATTCTGTCGAATATAGGAGAAAGCGACACCACGCTACTGGACAGATGGCAGCTGGTCGTCGAGAGGAATCCCGATGCCCAGGGCGACGAGGACAACGGCAAGGGCAAAGAGAATCTACCTCTGAATGTCGTTAATAATTACTTCTCCCTGGGCGTGGATGCTTACATCGCCCTCGAATTTCACGAGGCCCGAGGTTAGTGTCAGCCGCAGACATCTCTCTAAATCGTTCTCGACGTGCAACTCGGTGTGCTACGGTTAATAGTTAATTGTTGCTGCACCAGTGCTCAAAGGGTGGCTTTGCCGAAGAGTATGTGATACTTTTCGTGAAATCAGGTTGTCAGAACTGAATTGTTAGAATTGTCAGAAACTTCTTAACGCGTTGATTGTCACACGAATACTCGTGAGAATTTCTACAGGGTTAAAATTTTGTTCGAAAAGGGCATACAAATTCTTAACGATTTTTCTAGGGATTTACATTCTTTAATGTAAGCTCTATGGGGTACACTTCAGCAAGGATTTCGAAACAAAATTCGAATCCTTTCTTACATATAACCCAATAAAAAGTAATAAACATTCACAATAATGAAAAACATGCCATGAAAAAAAAAAAACAAATCAAAGCAAACTGTGCGTTTCGTTTCATTTCTCATTCTCTTACCATCACACTTCCCTAATTTCCCATACACAAATAAATCTGTATCATTCAGCTTTTCATAGTCTCAGCTTCAAAATAAAAAAAAAAAAAAATATTTCGCGCTAATGCATTCAAAAAATACATTCACCAAATTGATTGTATTAGAGAGCAAAATGAAATTCTCTCGAAAGAAAATGGAATGAAAGAGGAGGATCTCGTTGGATTGCAGAGGCGCATCCAGAAAGGTTCAACTCGCGACTGCGAAACAAGATGTATTACGGTCAGATGGGCGGCAAGGATCTCGTTAGACGAAAATGGAAGGACCTCTCGGAATTCGTAACGTTGGATTGCGATGGCCAGGACATGACGCCGAAATTGAAGGAGCATCGTGTTCACGCCATAGTCTTCTTGAACATCGCCTCGTACGGTGGTGGTACGCATCCTTGGGGTGCTGCGAGTGGAACCAAGGAACCATCGACGGAGGATGGACTGATCGAGGTGGTTGGTTTAACTACCTACCAGCTGCCACTCCTTCAAGCAGGTGGACATGGCACCTGCATAGCTCAATGCAGCACGGCTAAGCTAGTTACCACGAGGACCATTCCAATGCAGGTTTGTTCATTTCGTAGAATATTTTCTATTTGGCGTGTTCACCCGTGGAAAATAGAATTTTTACATATTTTTCTATATTTTTATTACGAAAGATAAGGGATCTATGTTTTGCTATTCATCAACCAATAAAACGGTTCTTTAACTTGTGGTTTAGGACGATGTAGTGTAAATAATTGTTGTAATCGATTGAAAGACTCTAATAAAAATAAGTAAGCTAAATGACGTAGACGATACTCGATACAAATTTTTCAAAGTTTAAAATAATAGATTAATGAAATTATCTTCGCTTTCAAAAACTTGAAAGACAACGGTAAGACGTCTTAATTAATTTTGAATGTTTAGGTTAATTTAAGTTGAGCAGAGGAAAGTTTTCAATATTTACCAACCTTAATGTCTCGTGGAAATTGTAATCAGTTAAGATTTCTGTAAAAGCACAGGCAGTTAAGGTACCAGCATACAGCGGTCGTTATGAAATTAAGTTCAGAAACTAGGACGACGAGCGAAACGAGTCATGTTCCTTCATAATCCCTTCTTTAAGGCTGCCTCAGGATCCACGTATTTAATGATACTTTAATGATTATGGCACTAGACCAAGCTTCAGGAATTTACCATTTCAAGTATAAAGTAATATGACATACATTATAATACGTATAATATATTACATCTATAATAATTAAATCAAAATGACTCTGACTGTATCTGACACTCTTTCTTAAAAAAAATGTTCAATTTTCTTTATGAATTATCAACTAGTAAAATTGTCGATTAAATTAATTACAAGATCCTTCATACATTTCCTACTCTTTCTATGGTTGTATATATCGGAAGCAAAAACACCAATATTCTTTACAGATACTCTAATGTTTATTATAAAATGATTCTAAACTCATTCAATGCTACAGACAATTTAATATTACAAATACATTACAATAAATTCATTTAATTTAAGTCTGTAATTAAGTTCAAGATGGGCCCCAAACAACCTCAGAAATAATACCAGAGTTACACTAATACATACAACTGTCCACGAAGGCTATATTTAACCCCAACGGTCATAATTCTCACTCCAGGTCGACGGTGAAGCCTGTCGCCTGTTGCCATCCATCATCGAGATGAAACTGTTGAACAAGGCTACCATGTTGGCGAAACGAAGGAACGCCGGCAAGTCGCACCGCGACGTCGTTCAGTTGGAGAGATTGAAATTGCCAGTGATGAAGATAAAGATGCCCGACTACGAAAGGTATCATCACGACAAAGACATGCTGAAGAAGTCCGCGACAACGTGGATAGCGGATCCGCTCGATCTCGACGCCACCACGGATCTGGAGTCGCTAAGGAAGATCCTGGCGAAGGACTACAACATGGACACTTGTTGCTTCCTCGACTGTTAGTGTCTCTGTATAGTCTCCCAGCGAGCTGCCAGCGATTACAATTCGATCACGCTACCATTCGGGATCCTCTGTTCCAGCGTGCACCGCGGAGCGATTCTTCAGGATCGACAGGGCTCAGGAGCAGCTCCATTACGTCACGGATGTCGCCGTGGACGCGGTGTACGTTCTTGACGAGACAGCGGCCAATCAATCATCTGGCGAACCCGAGGGAAAGCTTTCTCCAAACCAAGAAACGAAACCAGTTCAATCGTCGCCCAGGTACTTTAACGTCACACTTGAGATTCGTTCTTCATTCATTTATATTTAGTTTCATCGTGGTTGTATTCTCCTCTGTGTAAATTCTATTCCTTTCGAAGGGGTTGCCTTGTGTCTGCTGAAAGAATTTTCTGCGTTTTCTTGAAGCGTAGAGTCTGGAAAGTACAGTGGCAAAATGATTAGTGAAAACTTGTACAATTTAGTCACCATTTTGCCAAATTTAGAGTTTCTAATTTTTTTTTTAATTCAGACAAAAGCAACATTCCTACAAAGCAATGTCAAAAAATTAAACAAAGAATAGAAAATTCTCAAATATTATTCATCCCTCCAAGGCACGAGGAAACCTCCTTAAGTAACAAAGTAATACGTTTCGTAAACGTCGACAGTAAACTGACATGTTATAGTTAATACCAATTTTAGTCTTTGTTTCTATGCGATAGTAACGTCTGTCCGTACTTCTGCATGTACTAACAAAATGTTGGTCGTAGCTATGAAATTATTACGCATAGTTACACACGCACTGCGATAATAACACCTTGGCTCCAGCGTTTAATCCCTTCACACATTCGTCTGTGTGTCCATGATAATGTAATGGTAATGGAATCGTATCATTAGATTAATAGAAAGAACGTGTAATATAGCGAAGAACGACCAAAGACAAACGCAGCCATGACAGAAGACCCGGTCAGAGAAGAACCAGCTAAAAAAGAACCAGTTAAAGATGAGCCGAAGGCGCAACCAATTACGGTACCGGAGAACGCAGCGCCGAAGACTCAGGACTCCGCCAAATCTCAGGGATCGATGAGCAGAAGCACACCTCATACCGAAACGAATAATGCAAGGAACGGGGAAAGAGTCTCGGTTAACGAGAACATAGTAACTGGAGCCCCTGTTAAGCAAAGTAGTTCCTCGAAATCGATCTCTGCGACGGCTGTTGCTCAGTCGCAACATCGGGCACCATTCACCTTCATTAGGTAGGTATTTTCCAACCCTGTACGATAATGTCCACAAGTTTGGCGCATTCTACCATCTTTAGAGAAGTGGGACATTCTAATAGACTCGCAGAAATATTTAATTATTATTTATCGAATAATAATTAAATTAATAAATAAACACAATCCAAATAATATTCCAAGCAATACGTTTATGATTGGACGAAGGTTCATTAGTCTTAAAGATCAAACGGTGCGCCAAGCTTGAATGGCAGCGTACCTGATTTCCATTTGAAGCGAGAGACTTCATTGGGCGAGATTAACGCCATTCGAAACTAGAACGTGCAAAACGGATGGATGTTAATTTGTTGCAGTCCACGAGATAGGCTTTTCGGTCTGAGTTCTGAAGTCCACACCTTTAGCACGGGATTACTTGAAAAAACCAGCGACAGCATCTTGAAAGCGGCGAAGATTGGCGATTTTCAGGCTATAAAGGATCTCCACGGGAAAGGATATTCACTTTTGTCTATCGACGCCACTGGTCAAACTGCTCTTCATTTGGCAGCGAGGCACGGTCACAGGGACATCGTCAGGTATCTCATTGCTTGCGCGCCATCGACCATCCTCAATATGATTGACAACGACAAGTAAGTTTCTATTTTATTAAAATGTGTCATTAATAATAAAGAAAAATTAATCTATAGAAAATTCAAACTAAATTATTTACTAAAAATGAAGAATCATATTTTTACCAAACTGTTAATATTCATATTAACGAAGTAAATTGGAAATATCAATGATATCAATTGAATTTAGATTTACTCTATTTATTTGTACCATGATGGCTGTCATATTTTTTTTTTTAATTAAACCAGCTGTTATTTTCTTACATTTTTTGTTAGTTTTCTTTTTCATTTCCAATCACGATCGGTACAACGATTAATAAACGAAATGTTTACACACACATATTCACACTCACACAACCATCGATTTAAAATTCAAATCAAACTGTACCTTTTTTCACAAATATCACATGTATTTCATTTTTCATATTTGCATACTTAAATAAATACCCAAACATCCCCCAAGCGCAGTGATTAAACAATTCAAATTAAATTAAAAAGAAAACACTCGTAAATTCAATACACTTCTCAAGTTCCTCGAATTTAATGCCAAGTAAATCCTTTATTTTGCATTTTCATTATGTCCACGACAAAGCGTCCTGTTTCAAAAACGTCTACATTGTTAAAAACAAAAACAAAAACAAAAACGAAAAGCAATCAGTGCTCGTAGGTGTGGGTCAAAGTTTGTTTACGACGTGGCATAAATGTCGGTCAAAGGACACGTGTATTCTTGGCGTGTAAACAGGCAATGAAATAAAAAGAGAATTTTCTTTTTTCTAATTGCAGAGGTCAGACCGCTTTGCACAAAGCGGCTCAATATAAGCGTCGTTCCATTTGCTGCATGTTGGTAGCAGGCGGTGCTACTTTAACCATTGCGGACCGCAACGGCCACACGCCTCGTGATCTTGCTCTGCAAGCGGAGGACCGTGACCTCGCAGCATATTTATATAGTGAGTGTTTTGGTCTTTTTTTTAAATCGGCTGACATTATGAAAGAAATTCCACATGGATAAATATAGCGAACTTTGCATATACGGTCGCAAAAAAAATCCAGCGCGAGCTCTTCCTCTTCAAGGAACCGTCATCATGCTAAAATAATTTTTATTTAGATTTTTTAAATGTAACAAGAGGTGACATCCTCCACCCTTAATCGAAACTGCTTCGATTCCTATTGGTCTCAATTTTAATCAGAGGTCAGAGAGAAAGAGAGATATTATTCAATTTTATTTCCATACAATGTTCAATTTCAAAGCCTCATATACTATGCAATAAAATAAAACACAGTAGAACAATTTATGATACACCTCTGAAACATACAAATATTGGTTTCTTTAATTGTATTTATAGTAAACACAATATTCCCTTTGCATAATACATAAGGCTTTCTGGGGTCGGGACCAAAGAAATTTCAAATCCACTCGGAAAGTTTCCAATAGAAGATACTTAAATCCACGGAGGGGGAAAGTCCATTTGCCCGTAAGAATTCGGATGGAAAACTTTTCCGCGCGACCCTTTCAATTCAATTCAAGGACCCGATCGAGGGTTTCATTGAATCGCGGGATCAAGCGAGATTCCGTTAAATTAAAGTCGCTTTCGGCGTTGTTACCCTTTCGGCGGATCGTTAAATCGGCGTTGTTCGGTGATCTAGGTCAAGAGCAGTTTCAGCTGACAACGGAAGAAATGGAGAATGCCCTTTGACCTCGGATCGTAATTGGGTGGGCCTGAGCCGACCCTAGGTGAATCTGTCGTCGATGGAATCCAGATGAATCCTAAGCCGTTCGACGATCCAAGATCGCCGCTTAAATCGCGCGTATTTTATCATAGATCTCGCGTAAGTCGCAACACGTGATAAATCGATATTCTTCTTCGACAATTTAGGGTAATGCGTTATTCTACCAGGTGCTCTCCAGAAAAGACAAATCCTTTTTTTTCTCATCGAAAATCTCGTGATCGCTTTCAACGAGTGTTAATAATACGTTAACATGTTACGCTTGGTCCTCAAGGACCAGGAGGAGTTTTTTGTTTAGGCTACGCCCGTCATGCCAGTTTCTCTGCACCCGTAGCCGAAAAGAAAAGAGTATTGCTTATCATACTTAAACAATCTACTTGTGAACAATCATAATTTTGATAATCAAGGTTTAAAGCTGCCAACAAAACCTTACTTGGCTGCAATGAAATATTTGCCAAAGAAATCTTCACCTTTCTCTATTTGATAGATTGTCTTAGCAATTATCGTTGAATTATTGCATTCAACATTTATTTGAATTCCACAAGAGCTGATGTCTCTAGAAGCAAAGATTCAGCCACGTCAGAAGTTGGTGCGATGGCGCCAATCATATATATATATATATAAAGGTGAAGATTTCTTTGGCAAATATATATATATATTTTTTTTTCTGGGAGAAAGGAAAAACGAAGTTCAGTAGTATTCAGGGAGTTGGACAGAATGTTAGCTTTTATTCCAGTTACTATTGTTCGAATTCGACGATTGTTAGAGTTAGGATTTATTCTTCGAACGTAGTGCGTTATTCGTTGGGTAGACGGTATCGTTAACCCTTTGCAGATGATGCAGACGCTTAATGGGGTTGTTATAGTACTATTGCTAGGAAAACAGATTGTTTTAAAGAATTTTTATTTCGCGCAACAAATAATTGGGGAATATCAATGTTTTTACACATAATGATAGACATGTTACATAAAAATATACGTAATGTATGTAGAATATATTCTACTATTTCATTTAATAATATTAATATTTCGTTCGACATGAGATCATGTAGAATAACATCTTTATATATAAAAACATTGATATTCCACAATTAATTGTTATGTGAGATAAAAATTTCTTTAAAATAATCCTTTTTTTCTTTGCTGCTAATTAATGTGAAGTCTTCGCCCCAAAAATGGTTGTCTGCAAGGGGTCGAAGCGTAAAGTTTTATTCGAATGACGACTCGAGTGGCTCGAAGAGCTGAGAATCGATCGTGCACGTGTTTCTTCGTTGAACGAATCGAGTTGCAATAAGTTCTATCCGACTCTGCTGGCATCCAATGTATTTCTATCCACCCGTTGAATTCTCCCCGCTTGTTCTAGGATATCTCGTTGCATCGGATACATATCTTTTTCTATAAGTGTCGCGTTACATATACATATATTATACATATACATATATTTTCTACGTACGGTTAATACTGGTTATATATTTATTCTCTGTAAGGTGCAAGAAGTTTCTTCACGATACTGTTTTTCTTGTCCGTGAACGCTCGTCGAACTTCTTTACACTGCTTGGACACATAAACACACACAGGCACAGGTACATACACGGAGACACGAAACGGAAGCAAAACAAAATGCAAAAAGTAAGACAAAAAGAATATTCATCGTTCGAAATTTTATTACTAATGTCTCCATCGTGACAATCGATCTTCCGCATTTTTCCAATTATACTAACCCTCTGTTGGAGGAATTGGAGGAAATTTTGTAGCATTTGAGCGCGAGATCGTCTTATTTAACTTATTTAGAGTTAATTATTTATTAAAGTGAGAAACACTGAATTAATTAACGAATATACAACCGACCAAAAGATAATTTTTTCTCCAAAAATAAAATTAAATCCCACGCAATAGAGGGTTAGATTAGAATTCAAATTTGATCAACACACTTTCCAACGCTATGAATATCACCGAGGTAGCGTCGCAAAAATATCGATTGCCAAAGCAGCGATCCCTCCGCCCCCAAGATATCAAGCAGTCATGTTCATCTCGTAGGTACGTTAACTCATTTCTGCGTTAATCCTTTGACTTCGGGTCAATTTTTGCTGGAAATTCTATGGAATTTTAAGTGTCTCATTGTTATATTTGAAACTAAACATTCGATGAATAAACTGTAAACATAAAGAAAGTTTCGTCTTATCATTCTCTATAAGACGATATTTCTTAAAAATTGTTAAATTTAAACATTTCATCCAATTTTTGTGGACGAATATATATGCCCTGGTCTGAGCCTAATTTTCGAGGACGGATATATACCCCTTTCACAGTCAAAGGGTTAACCAATTGAGATCGATGAGGACGAGGAGAAAGAAACCACGGAAGCAGCGCGTTCGAATGAAAGAGCGAAAGTGTGAACAATTGAGAGCGAAACGTGATAAAAAAAAAAAATGGAGAAAGAGAAAATTATATTACTCGGTACCAAAATGAAAAAGGGGATCAACGTACGAACACCAATTAGCTCTTAAAGGACGGTCTATCGTCACTATTATGATACTGTTAATTACACTTAGACTACTCTAATTTTACTGTCGAATTATTATATTGTATAATGTACGTATAGTACCCTTCTAAGTATTCGTCCTGCGGGCAAGAGAATTATTCTGAAAAAGTACGGAGTCACGATAATATACCTGTAGACGTCTACGAGGTAAGTTGTCCTCATTGGACACGCGCGAACGTCTACTTTAATAATCGATTCGATTTTTAGCGATGTAAATAAATTAAATAACGATGTTCAAGCGTGTCGGGGGACGAGTTTCTTATTTTTAAGCACTCGCTGTCGTTGGAATCTCTTTTCTGTGATTTTTCGAGACTGTCCTCTTAAACTAATCATTAGTGGCGATATCGTGATTAGTAAACGTGTAAATCTTAATATTAGAATTTAATCAAGCCTTCTGCGAATGTTGCCTGCAAAATGATCGATTTCTTATAGAAAGAAATCCACTGTGATGGTTATGATGTGAATTTATTTGATTAAATATTCACTTACTTTGTTTAAATACTTCTTCTATCGAATACAGAAGTTAGGATAGTATTAATTATAATTAGGCTAAAAAATACGCGAATTCTTTTTAGAATTAGTAAAGTGAACATATGCAAATGGAGACATACAATTACACGTTTACTAGTTACTTTATCTTTATCATTTAAGAATCATAAGTATCTCAAGTAATCTTTGAAAGTGTCAACAATTGTACAGCTATATAATTCTTCTCGAACGTGTGACTTCCTAATCTTCGAATTCACCCTAAGGTATCGTCAACGAGGAGACAGTTTCAAATATTTACGAAACTATTAAGATGAAAATGTGGGAGAAATCGAATCGAGCGGATTGAAAAGTTCCCGCGCGTCTCTCTTCCTCGTGTGTCTCTAATCCTCTTGTAATTACTGATATTTTTAAGGATCGTTAGCCTGATAGAGAGGTTTAGCGACGAAGTAATCGTACGTGTATGTATAAATAGATACATCCGTAGAGTACAGGTATTCGATGACGATGGCGGAAGTAAAATGAAAAAAAAAAAAAAAAGAAAAACAAACGAAACCGATTTAGAGATGCCTTCGAGTGTAAGATACCGTTGTTCTGATTATTTTTTATATGTAGAGAGTATTAATGGTAACGCCTTTGTAATTCACCTGGGTGTCGCGATGTTCATTCGACGAATAAACACCTCCGTTGTATTTAATGTCCCTATTTAACGAAACGCCCGGTCGCGAGCGATGTTATTCGTCCAATGAACGTCGCAACCGATTTTTAGAGACCAGAACGAGAAGCCGGAGCAATTAAAGACTTGAACATTAGTTGAACACGTTTCGTTTTGATTTAATTTGCTTTTCCGTCTTTTTCCTTGGTTCGACGCGAGACTCCCTGGCCAACGTTTGTTTCCCCGTGTTAGTTTGAACTGTTCCAGAAACATTCGATCCCCGAGAGACCCCTAAATCCTCGAGTCCGCGATTATTCGGTATCGTTCGTCGTGGTTGCAGCACCCTGTGAGGCAAAGACTTGGAACGAGACTTGGGTAACGATTTTTCCAGCAATAATTTGTACAGCTGTCGTTGATAGGTGTTTTGGGAGGTTTAACGTCGATTGTGGGGGATTATCGAACGAGTTGTACGTGGATATGGGCGAAACGGAGTAAGACCTCGATATAAGATCGGATTTTTCCTCCGATTTAAGGATACTCTCTTAACGATGACAACGTCAAGTAACTCACACTTTTTATACGTTGACATTTGATTGAAACATTAGTTCATCAATTGATATGTAAACAGATAAACAATTTCTATACATTACCAGTTGAATGAATATAAAAATTTGATTTTCAGAATAAAATTGTACCTCGTTTCGAACAAACGCGTACCTGAATAATGGTGCGATCGAATAAACGTCACGAACAAATGGCTCTTTGCTGTTTCTGCCTGTTATTTATTATTCGAATAAAACGTAGCCCATCTCTGCTCGTACAACACGCTCGTGTTGGATGTCGGTTGTTGCCATAAAATCTGGCGTGGTGCAGGTTCCACGGAGGACATGTTGAATGTAACGCAGGTTGGTTTCATGACTATTTTATCTCGTTGCATTGAAAAATTGCACTGTAATGACAATAAAATTGTTGGAAGACTTAACACTTTGTGGTTCAGATCTTTTAATTTCAGTGCATTTTAGTCGTTGACATAGGAATGGAAAAAGTTAAAAGATATTTTTTTTAAATATTATTCCTCTTGTTTGTTTTCAATTAATAAAATTGAAAGCTCGACACAAAAGATGGTTGTGCAAATTGTTATACGAATAATCGTTACTCGAGTGATTCCTATGAGGAATTTTCCGCGAGTTGTATGCGATTTCGAGGGATCTCCCTGTACCTGTATTCGAATTACGAATAATTGTGTAATCCTCTTATTGGTGCGCAATCTGATACAAACGGAAATAATTACGATCGATCAACTTTGGAAACGTTTCTCGCCAATTTCCACGAAATTTATTCTCCATAGCGTCGTTGGTCGGTTTGTTCATATGTAAGTGTATAAGTGTATTTTTACTAAAGCTATATATTTATCGTCGTAAGCAACTAAACTGAACGTAGTCGAGACAATGAATTCGAATATAACGACATATACTTATATCTTGTAAATTTCATCGCGTACGGGACGTTGACGATGTTTTCTAATTTCCTCCCCCTATCTTCTTGGACCACTCGTTTTGCGAAATGGAGCAGGACGCGACCAAACTCGGGACTCCCTTTGAACTTTCTAGAGCTAATCTTAGCTTTTAACCTTTGTCGGGATTCAATCATGGACGCGACCCCTGTTCTCCCTTTTCTTCTACTTTTTTCCGTTTCTTTTTTTCAGGTCGATCGATCAGTAAACGATTGCCTTGTCGTATCGCAACGTTGTGGCGTTACAGTGTTTCGCTGACTGGCCACGGGGTGTTTGAAAGGGAAACATCGATAGTACTTGGCACTGATATTATCACTGGCTTGCAAACGTTCTGTGGATCTCCGCTGATATTTTCATCGAACGTTTGTATCTACTGATAAACGACAGTAGCGATTGGGAGAACGATTTAGGAATTAGTGGCATTATTTTTATACAAATAATAAGTAGGAGAATCAAGTTCTACTTATCAAAACCAATCACGTGAAAAATTCAAAATATCACTTCTTGTAATGGAAAAATGAAATTTGCAGTTAACATACATGAAAATTACGTCCAAACAATAAAATGGGATTACAATTTACAAGTTTTCTAATCTATAAATATACATTTAATGTAACTTGTTTAACTGCCAATAGGAACCATTAATTTCGAATTTTGAATTTGAAGCTTACTGCATGGCCAAAGGCGACACAGAGAGGAACTATTTTGTGAGTATCGTATCATTTTATCTCTGAAAATTTACTTGTCACTCTAATTTCTCCAAAAATGTGAAATGAATATACTTATCGAGGAGAATCGTTTGGAAGCACTGTATCGCGACAACAAAGCATCGATGTCATCGAGTATAGCGTAAATTCTTCTGTACATTGACCCAGCCTAATGTACGAACACTACTGTATATATCTATACGTCAGATACGTATATTATAATATTTATCGAATTTTTCGAGTACTTAATAAAAAAAATGAAAGAAGAAAATCAATGCCTTTTGCGGTTCGCAAATGTATCACGAATTAAGGGAGAACTGGATTGCGAGGAAGGCGAACAAGCTGTCCCCGAGCCGAAAAGTTTCCTTCGGGCTGGATAGGCTATCATTAGGGTTGCCAACTACGTCAGGTATAAATCCTCCACTTTCATTATTTGTTATAACTCTCAAATGCATCATCAAGAACGGCCAAGAAATAGAAATCGAGAAAACCTGAAAATAGAGTCGTAGGTGGTACAAAATAATTTCTTTCAAAGTCATTATTTTACAAGATTTCAAGATAAAACAAGTCATTGCCTCGCCCTGTATACTATCCAACCCCGAATAAAGGCCAAGACTAAAGAAATAAGACCTGAAAATGGAGCGTCCTTACCTAAACGAAGCCTGGCAACCTTAATTAGCCTGCGTATACTTTCCCTTTCGTTCCGAGGAATGTCCTCTTCGTCGTCGATTAGAAAACCGCGTGCCTATCGCTCGGTTTAGCGTTTAATCCTTAAGGGATAATTAGCGTCGAGTTTTGGGATCGGGCGTCGGGTCGCGAGTAACGAGTACTTCCGACGAGTGGAAGGCTGACGTAGCTGCGAATGCTTCGGAAGTCTCGGCTGAGAACTTTCCGGTACGGCGATAACGAGTATTGTTGTACGCGATGCTAATTAGAGAGCTAAGTTCGCGTGCCCCGCGATTCGTGGGTCTCGTACGGTCTGATGTTCGCGTTTAACCGGCAAGGATCGATTCGTAGAACGATGATTGATATCTTCTGATGGGATACGTTCGTCATTTTAACAAGTTGGCTGACAACTGCGTTGCGAAATTCTGGCACGATCGGGTGATCCGTCAGGAGTTGCGCGAGACGGTTCAGTAACAGGATTAAATGGGATGTTAGGTCTGGACTGGAGGATTCGACTGTTGATGGCAGGTTTGATGTGTGTCAGACACGTTGCTTATGTGTTTGAATGTTTTTTAAAACAGTTGAGGGGGAGTTGGAATTAGGATATCCTGTGAGTGTTTAAACCAACACGTTGCAAAATAAACATTTTGGAGTATTTGTGAAAAAACCCAATTGCTGATGGATCATGGGTCAACGATGATCCCCAGAACGTGCTCGATATAGGCCTAACACACTGTCGATGCATGTTTGTAGGAACAGTGATTGTGAACTTACCATTAAGATCGTGGGATTATCAGGACCTTCGACGATATCTCGTGGATGTTGGAGCCAACGTGTTGAAAAGTGAACAAGCAGTTTGACGTGGAGAGATTAGCCTTGCCAGTTAAAGTTTAATGAATCGGATCGTTAAGCTCGTGGAAGCTTTGCCTGTTTCAGTTTTAGAACCTTCTATCGCCAGGGATAGTATGAAACTAAAGGGAACTGTGATCTTATTTAAAATTTATCCTTGTTCTTACTTTCATAGCTTCTTGCGAACTTTCTTAACAATTTTTTGACTATATAAACATAAAAATTTAATAGATACACAATGGGTCATTGATTTTATCAGAAATTATGAGGACGTTATAAAAAATGATACCTGGACAATTTCAAGCTTCCGACATGGAAATGAATTTTGTCATAAATTAAAGGCACGATTGTTTCTTGGAAATTCTGTGTAAAATAAAATGAAATAGAAGAAACAGCAGGCAAAGTTTCCCACGGAATTTCCCATCGAGGCAAAGGCGACGTTAGTTCTAGTAGATAAGTCGTGAATGAGGATGAGATGACGAAAGGTGAGTGTGAGATAGCAAACGCGACGAGAGCGTGAGCATAAGAATTGCGCAGAGTTACCCGAAGGGAGGAAAAGAAACACAGTATTGCCTTTCTCAGGGACGCGGTCTCGGTCCGTGGGTTTCATCTTAAGTTTTAGAGCAATAAATTGGCGACAATCACGACGTTTTTTCGGCCCGAGGCCGCGTCGCCCATCGTTTCCTCGTCTGTCCGCGCGATTATTTTTCATTCCTCTTCGCTTCGACGACGAAATCCACGTTAAACGTCATGATTATACATCAAGGAGCAAAGCTGGGCAAAATTGAAATAAAACACACAAATATTGATCAGTTATTTGTTCGATCAAGAGTGAATGATAATCTGAATAATAAAAGTAGAACTAGAAATTATATCTCAGGTTGAACAAATTGAAACTTACGTGAATAACTGATCGATCGGAGTTGGGTATAAATTGATGTTTACTCGGGTAAAATTTTGCCCATCTGTGAAGAGTTGAAGAGGGTGACTCTGGGTGGTATTTATATTTAGGGATCAGAATTTTTTGAAAAGGATTATATCCTTCATATCGATGAGGACTTTATGTGATATAAAGTGAGTAGATTGTGGATTGTATGCATTTACCATGTAGGGGTGCGAGTGATTAAAATTAAATTAAAATTAAAATTCACAAAATATTATCACATTAACCCTTTCACCCGTGAATTATTTTTTTTCTCGTACTGATGTAATTTAATTTTGAGGGCTAACTTGGACTAAAATTAATATGGACAAAATAGAAATAAACCCTAATAGTGTAATTTTTGAGGAAAACTGGTCTTTCTTCATGTGTCCTCAATTGTGAACGCCAGGTTTGAAAGGGTTAATTTACGAAATGTAAGGAAACGATGCTAATCATACTCAATATAGTATAGCATATTTTTCCCGCGTTATATTATATCGTAAATG